TCGGTCTTCATCGCAGTGCCAGGAGGGTGTCAGTGCTCATGTTCTTCAATGACGCCGTGTTCTTCTTCGTCTGAAGCGGCAAGGGAATGGGCACATCATCATAACTCGCTTCGCGAGAGGTCTGAATCTCTGAACATCCTCCTCCTCCTCCTCCTCCTCCTCTTCCTCCTTCTCCTCCTCCTCCTCTTCCTCCTCCTCCTCCTTCTCCTCCTCCTCCTCCTCCTCCTCTTCCTCCTCCTCCAACTCCTCCTCCTCCTCCTCCTCTTCCTCTTCCTCTTCCTCCTCCTCTTCTTCCTCCTCCTTTTCTTCTTATGGTTCTTCTTACTATTATTAGTCCTCCTCCTCCTCCTCCTCCACCTCTTCCTCCTCTTCCTCCTCCTCCTCCTCCTCGATAATGGTCCGCCTCCGAGCAGTCGGTGTTCGGTGCTGGGGGGTGCTGCGGGGGCCTGGAGTGGTCCTTTTTACCGTTGTAGGGGATATCCCAACGGCTGACAGCATCGGCTGAAGTGGCAGCGTCGGCTGGGCGCGGCTCTAAAGTACCGCCGGGGGTGAAGGCTTAACCTGTTTGTCGGACACGTCATCCATCCTGCGAGTGAGCAGTGCATCCGCAGGCTCCGCCGCAGATGTAGAGGTGGCCCCTGCATTGCCACGTAGGCTCGTCGTGGCTATCTGGGCGCTTCTGTGAATTGAGTCCTCGCAGGTGGTGGAGCTGCTGAACCAGGTCTTGTTGCACGAGTAGGCTTTCCTGGCATTCGTGCCGACGCTTCTCGATGGTCTCGTTGTCCCGGCGCTGCCTGTTCTTGAACCGTGGATGGCGCTCACTCATCTCAAGTGCGCGCGGCTGCTCGGCCTTCAGGAATTCCTCTTGCAGCCTGTGGATGACAGATTCCTGTTCGCTGTAGCTGGTCTGCCGGCCCATCCCCTCCGGCTGTAGGTGCCGGCGCAGGAGGTACAGCTGCGCTTCCAGTTCCATACGTCTGGGGTGGAGAGATTGGAGCTCTTCCTTAGAGTTGGACGCCAGATGGGTCGCACGAGCGCCAGTCCTCGGCTCGTTGCGTGAGATGTCGCGACATTAAGTCTCTCTGGGTACGGAGCCCCTCGTTGTCCTCGATTGAACGCGTGAGCGTGGTGTAGACAGCTTCTTGCTCAGCGCGCAGTTGGCGTGCCTCGTGATGTTCACCCTCGAGTCTGGCCTGATGCGCGGCCGCGGCAAGCTCACTGCGCGCCTGGCGGCGGTGGAGCGCGTGGCGTTCTGCGATTCGGGTCTGCGCAGTGGGCCCCCCCTCGCAACGCGCGAGCTGCTCGCTCTGCCGAGGTGAAACCTGCTCGGCGTAGCGCTTCTGCTCTTGGCACTCGTCCCACGTCGCCCTGTAATGGAGTTCGTCCTGGTAGAACTCGCGGTACTCCGCGGTCACCTCGCGGTGTCGTTTGTTGCCTTCAACGAATCCTGTTCCTGAGGTACTGAATTTCGGCCGACTCTTCGTGGCGCTCCTCTTGAAGATGGACTTCGCATGGTGATGTCGAGGTCGGGGTTTGGTCGGATGCCTGTTGCGTCGGCTTGGACTGCTTGAGTAGTGTGATCATAAGGTCTTCATCCAGCTCGGAGTTCTCGCAAATGCGGAGACGGGAGTCTGCTCGCAGGTAAGTTTCCTGTAGTTCGCTGTAGCGGATGCTGGACATGGGACATTGCTCCTCGGCTTACTTCGTTCTCTGCTGCCCCTCGTCGACGTCGATCTTGCGCTGGGAGCTGTTTTGCGTGAGTTCTGCGGATGGCAGCTGAAGGTCGTCCTGAAGCAATCTGACGAGCTCGTCTCTGCACTGCGTAGACACGGAGCGGGCGTCCTGATTGGCAAGTTGGCTTAGCACATCTGCGCAATGTGCCTCCAGCTGCCTCCAGCTCCTCGTGCTTCTCATCCTTGCTGCGCATCAACTTGCGTCGTTCGTTGATACGCCCCTCTGTAGAGACGTTAGCGGAGGCCTTCGGCGTTGCGGATCTCGCGGTTGAGAGCCGCGTTCTTGTCTGCGAGGTCCTTGATCGTGTTGCGCAGCTCTGTTTGTTCCTCAAGTAGTCGGCGTCTGTCGGGGAACGCGCCGATCGCCGGCGGCGCAGACGGCCCGGGCCGGTCGCGCGGTGGGGCCCTTTGCTTGCGTAGGGCGTCTTCGAATGATTTGGCACTCTCCCCGCCCGTCTCAGCTTTCTTGCCCCCGTCGCCCGTCGCTGCCCTGGACGCGGAGATCACGTCCTCGAGGCAGCGGATGTCTCCGAGGTTGCGCGCGACAGTGCGTCATCTGCCCCTGTCCCCGATTCATCGCAGCGCCGCTTTGCAAGGGCGCTCGCGGCATATCCAAAGGCACTGGCGCAGGTCCTCTGCGTCTCATGGTGGTTTCACGCACGAGGGGTGGGTCTTGGCCTCCTGTTCCTCGTGGGACTCGGTCGCTTCGACCACCTTCTCGCTGGCCCTGTCCAGCTTCCCAGCAGGTTGCTCTCGCGCGCGACTTGAGCTCCTCGGCGACCGTCGCGCACGCGGCTGGTTGCCGTTCTGGCCGTAGTCGCCCTGCCTCCAGGCCCACTGGTTCCCGCGGTGACAGATCCAGACCTTCTTGGGCGTGCTTCTGCCGCAGCCGTTGCATTTCCAATAGCAAATCTTCGTTGCGGCCCGTCGACCTCGCCCTCTAGGGATGGAGACATCGCGCAGCAAGTCTCTCCTGCCGCGGGGCGCGGAGCGGTCTCTGCAACAGGGGCCCGTCTTGCCGGCGCCCTTGGGCGCCATCTTGGAGCGGCGCTGGCCAAGTGGACGCGCCGCGGCAGCGACTCGCGGCAGCGCCCTCGCAGCCGCTCGCTGTCTCCGGGCGCGCTTGCGCCAAGCAGACGATGCATGCATTGTTTTTGTTGCGGGCGTGGGCCCCTCCTGATCCGACGCGCAATTAGCGCGGGCGGGCAGCGATGTCCCGCGAGGGATTGCAAACCTCAGCGCGCACGAGCAAGCACGGAGAGCACTCGGAGATCCGAGCGCAGTGAATGCTGCACGGCGAGTACACTGCGAAGAAGTAGTGGGAAGGGTGCATCTTCTCCGCGGGCGCACGGCGCCGCGCCGGGCGCTGCCCGGCCGCGGCGGGGGGCGCGCCCCCCCCCGCCCTGGCGGCCTCGGCGAAAACGGCCCCTCCACCTCCTCCTCCTCCTCCTCCTCATCCTCCTCCTCTCCTCCTCCTCCCCTCCCTTCCTCCTCCCCTCCTCCTCCTCTCCTCTCCCCCCCCCTCCTCCTCCTCCCCCCCTCCACCCCCCCCATCCCCCCCCTCTCTCCTCCTCGCGCGCACCCCCCCCCCGCCCGCTGAACACCGATTGAACCGACGGTCTGACAGGGAGGTGCTGAAGACCTGGGGCCCTCGCTCCCCGAGATCCCCCGGCCTCGGGAGGGCCCGAGCCGGGCGCGCGCGAGCCTGGCGCCGCCCGCGGGCCCGCGAGCTCGCGGGCGACGCGCGGGGCCGCGCGCCCACGACAAGGTCGGGCACGTCCTTCTGTGGGCGGATCTTCGAAGATTATCCCAGTGCGACCCTACCCAGGAGTTGGAACCCCTAGGAAAGCAGCATTAGTAGTAACAGTAACGCTAAGCTAAAGCTAAGCTACAGCCAAGCTAAAGCTAAGCTAAGCTAAAGCTAAGCCACAGCTAAGCTAAAGCTAAGCTAAAGCTGAGCTAAAGCTAAGCTAAAGCTAAGCTAAAGCTAAGCTAAAGCTAAGCTAAAGCTGAGCAGCAGCTAAGCTAAAGCTAAGCTACGGCTAAGCTAAGGCTAAGCTAAAGCTAAGCTAAAGCTGAACAGCAGCTAAGCTAAAGCTAAGCTAAAGCTAAGCTACAGCTAAGCTCAAGCTAAGCTCAAGCTAAGCTAAAGCTAAGCTAAACGCTAAGCGAAAAGCTAAGCGGAACGCTAAGCTAAAGCTAAGCTACAGCTAAGCTGAAGCTAAGCTAAAGCTAAGCTAAAGTTAAAGCTAAAGCTAAAGCTCCCAGGGGACTGGGGGGAACCGCTCCCAGGGGACTGGGGGAACCGCCCCGGGCGCTTAGCACTGCGGCCCCTTTAAGCTAAGAGAGTAAGAACCCTTCTAGGCAGAGCCTAGGTAGGGAAAAATCAAACATAGTCACCGAAAAATGCCCCGCGCATGATCAAAGCATAAGCGAAACATCGCCCCCAGAGAATTCGTTGGACCACGTTTTAATACTCATCCCCCAGAGGGACGTGCCCGACTTCAGTCCATGATACACAAGTATCAAAGCGGGGCCGCAGAGGGCGCCAATGCGCTCGGCCTGCAAACATTGCGCCACCCGGGGCCAGACGCCCAAGTCCGCGCCCCCGCGCCACACGGCCGCCCAGTCGCCGAGGCCCGAGCCCCGCTGAAAGCGAATGATGGAGCCACAACTTCTTCCGGAAAAGGAGGGGCCTGCCAAGGCGTCGGCATCCTGCATTGCCCTGCGCGACGCCGCGGACTGCAAGCAGCACCCGCCTCGCGTTTGAGGCCGAGAGGCTCGTAGACACCAGCCCCCCCCCCCCCCCCGACGGATCCAATCCGATCACCCGCCCCCCCCCCCCACCCACCCACCACCACCACCACCACCACCACCACCCGCCCCCTCCACGGTCGGTCGGTCGGACATTGTCGAATTCGACCTAAACTCGCCGATCCTAGCCTCGGCAAATCAAGGAAATGTCGAGGGGAAACACAAACCAACGCAGGTCACCCCACGCAGTCAACAACGCCGCCGACAACTTCAACGCCAGGGACCTCGAAGGCCCCGAGAGCAGGTTCCAGCCCCCGCTCCCCTGTTGGCGGGGGCACGAAGGATCTCGCCGGCAAATGCATCAGCAGCGCGATCAGTCTCGCCGCCGCCCTCGCCCCCCCAAGAAGCGAAGAGCCCTGCCGCAACTGCGCGCGCGCCCGGAGCCCCAGCTCGCAATCGCCCGCCGCCGCGAACGCCGCCTCGCCCCGAGACCGCATTCGTTCAGACCCAGCGGCCCCCCAAGGCCGAGGGTAGCTCGAATCGGCAATGCGGCGGGGCCCATGAAGAATGGAGTCTTGCTGCCCCATGCTGCCTCACACAAAAAAGTCGCAACATCGAAAACATACATTACCTTCTTCCATTCAGCGCAGATCCTGTTCCACGCTCGCTGTTCCCCCCCGAAGTCTCGGCAGCCCCCGAGCCTTCTGCCCCCCCCACACACACACACACACCACCCCACCACCACCACCACACCTCACCCCGCCCCACCCCCGTGCCAAACCAATCGGTCGCCGATTTGCCCTGCCACGCCCCGGGGCCCGGCACTCCGAAAATCCCAATCACCCCGCGAGCGGCAACCAAACTGTCCCACTACCCAAGATCAAATCGAGAATCTCTTTGTTCGCTGACATCAATACAGCGCATTCGAACTTCTCTGCCGCGGCGCAAACTTTGCTTCTGCAGCAGATCCTGGAAATAGGTTTCTCAACGGCCAAAGACTATCTCTCCACTCGTTCTTCTTGAAAACACCTTGCGCGATAATCAGATGACCCCTGACCACCGCCACCCTGCGTTCCCCAAGGCGTTTCTCGCCCAAGCCAGAGCGGCGGGGGGGGGGAAGCCTCAGAGGATCTTCCCAGGGTTGGGGCTGTGCTGGCAGATTGGCCCGTGGCATCTGTGCTCCAGGGATTCGGCAGCGCTGTCGCGTCTGCATGCGCCTCTGCTGGCTTTTCGGGCTTCCGCGCCCTTGACATGCCAGTCCGAGCTTTCTCGGGGGATGCCTCCCCTGACCAGGGCCAACCGCTTCGCTCTGACCTCCTGAACTCTCTTGAGGCGGGCAATGACACTGCTGCGAATGCAAAACACCGCGCAACATTTCTTGCCCATCGCTCCGGCGGCAAACGTTCTTGGCGAATTATATTCTGCCGCACCCCCACATGTTCATCACCTACCTCGTGGCTGTGGTGGAGACAGATTCATACCACATAAAAACGCACTGATGTTCATCCCCATCCTCTTGCACTCCCACGAGACTTCCACAGTTTCAGATCGTTTCCAAAACTAGCCGTGCCTGGCATGCTACGCTCTGCATCTGCGCTGTCCCATGGCAGCCGTCACGAACATTATAGATAGTGTTTGTTTCTCGACTCTTAAATATAACAATAATGATATTTGTTTGCATATATATATATATATATATATATATATATATATATCGTTATATGATGCCTGGCCATCTGCATCACGCTGACACTATCCTGCTTGCGGTATTTCTCATTTGAGCGCCAACCCCGCTAACCAATCAAGTTCGCCGTTTAGCAACATCGGCCAGCCGAACATGAAGCATCTGCCAGAAACGTTGGGGGCCTCGTCAAGTAATATCCCTCGGTGGCTGATTCGTGTGAATCGCAGCACCTCCTGGGGCCCAGGTTTTCTGATAATTTAAATGATTCGCTCTTGGAGAAACGGGTTGTTGGCGTCACAAGCAGTCTGGATGCCAAGGGCAGCCCGAGAAATTATGGCGCGAGTTCTTGCCGGCGTCTGAAACGCCCTGCTGCTATGCTGATTCCACACCGCACACTTGGAAAACAACGGTCGCCGCGTCCGTTCCCAGCATCGAACCTTGGATGAGGTCGAGAGCGCGGTTCTTGGAGCCGATCTTTTGTGGAGGGGCCTTCGTTATCCTGAGCAGTTGGCCATCCACCTTCTGCCTTAGTACGTCATGTTGCGCCACTGTCCGCGACCATGGTCCCGAGGGACTTAGTGGCCCTGGACATCTAAAGTTCGACGCCTGGTTCTTCAACCTTGGGCACCCCGCTTTTCCGATCCGATTCGTTTGTTCTGGACTTCCCTGGGCCCACTTCCGATAGGATTCAAGAAGAGCAGCCAACTTGCCGTGATTGATCGAACTCCATCTCTGGAACACTGCTTGACTGATGATGGAAGTGGCTTGGCAAGGCCAGTTCTATATTCTCAATCCTGCCAGTTCCCCACACACGATTGAAGTTATCAGCTAAGGAGTAAGTCTCGGCCTGAATGTCTGGACTGCCAGCACCTCTGAAGCATGAGTTGCTTTCCTCTGGCGGCATCCACCCCAGCCCTTCTCCATCGACTTCGCTGCATTTCGGCCACGGTAGGGGCCCACGGGACATTACAAATGCCCGTCGACATCAGGGCGCCTGGGGTCTTACCCGGCCAGAAAAACGCCTGAACTTAGAGGCTCCTGCAAAGTTCCAAAATCCGCGAAATTGATGGTCCGCAACAAGAGTCCTTATGTGATCATATGGCAAAACTATGCCTAGCAGGCCTGTTTGTCTTAGGTTGTTGACAACACGCAACAGGGGTTGGGATAATTGGCCTGGAGCTGAGCGTTTGCTCAAAGTCTTTAGTATCCAATGCCAGGACAATCACCAGCTGTCTCACCATCCAATATTACACAAAAAAGCAGCAAACGTGGAGATCCCAGCCAATCGCTAAGCTTCTACATTGATGAGCGGGAGGTGGGTGGCGGAGTCGGTGCCAAATCCTTGCATACCGCCGAAGTGAGCACCTTCTGGCACAAAAGCCATGAGATTCAAGATGCATTGTCGCACCAGCTTGTGATAAAGTTTCGCAATCACCTTGCACACTGTAACGCTGACCTTACAAAAGGCGTACCTATTGTCACGTTTGCCGATGCTGAGGGCAGCCCAGCTCCGTTCATTTGGAATCCAGGGGTTCCTTGCCAAGGACAGCCGTTCTGACGCAAACTGGGAGCAGCAGCCTGGCAGTCTGAGCTGGCGCACTCTTGGTCACTTCCGCTTGTTTTCCGTCGGAACCTCCCGCATTGCATCCTTTAAGCGCTCGGGTGTCCAACTCAAGTCTGGTGCGAGTGGGACTGCAGTCTAAACGTCTGACGATGTCATCGCTCCCCCCCCCCATTATTCTGGCACGTCGGCATCTTATGGGTCTCTACTTCAAAAAGTTGCTCAACGTTGGCGACGTGCAACACAGACTCGTTAGCAACTTTAAGCGGAGCGTCGAAAAGCCCGTTGTCGGGGATAAGCTGGAGGGGTGAATATCTGGCCACGTTGCTTCTCTTGTCTCCCATGTACAATCGTGTTTTGTCCTGTGCCCACTCTCGCCTTGGCAGTTTCGCGTCAAGCGGCTTCCTTCTCGAGTCATCATTCAGCTCCGGGAAGCCGACGCCTCGTTGCCCAACAATGCTCTTGAGCGTGGTCTGGTCTCGCGCACAAAGCTCACCACTGCCAGGAGCACCTCGTCTGGCGCGATCCACTTCCAATCGAAATCTACCACTGAGGTGTGAAATCTCAGCCATGTGTTGTTGAGTCCGTCATCCACGGCCCCTCCTCCTGAGAGCACGTCCTGCATCCATCCGCATCTGCACAGCGGCAAACATGATGGGGGTAACAACGTGAACCTTGTTGAGCCTCGCTTTGTAGGCGCCTCCCCCCGGCTACCTGCGAACTCGAATGAGACCAAGCTCGCTTGTCGCATGAAAGGCCTGAGCGGACGGACGTCATTCTGCTTGAGATGCTCACCAGCATTCCATCCTCCTCCTCCTCCTCCTCCTCCTCCTCCTCCTCCTCCTCCTCCTCCTCCTCCTCCTCCTCCTCCTCCTCCTCCTCCTCCCCGCCCTGTGGCACACACTGCCTCCCGAGAGCGGGCGGCGAGAACGAAGGCAGCCGCCGCCGCCGCCGCCGTCCGAGGCGCACGCGCCTCGGAGTGGGCTGGCGGGGGGCGCAAGCCGCACGACGCGCCCGCCGGGGAGGGCCGCCGGCACCGAGGCCGGGGCCCGCTCGGGCCGGCTGCCGGCCAGGCGAGGGCAGGACGTCGTCGGTCGTCGGTCGTCGGCCTCCCGACCGTCGGTCCCTGCAGTCGCCGTCGCCGACGTCGTCGTCGTCGCGCGGGAGTGCGTGCAGGGGGGTGCGCGCGCGGGGGGGGGGGGAGAGGCATCTTTAGGGGATGAAGCTCGAGCGCCTGTCGACAAATGGCGGCGCTGCTCTGACCAGAACATTACAGGACAGTGTGAGATATCGTATGTCGTGCTACGGGTACCATGTCCGCCAGGAAGGTACACATGCAAGTGAAGGTACACGCACGACACAAAGACGAGCGTGAGATAGGCTAGGAAGAACAAGCAAAAAAAAACAACAAAGTGAAGCCAGCAGCCAAACTGGAAGTATAGGTCGATAGCTGTTCACTGGTCTGGGCTGAAGAGAGACTCAACAACGCCTCACCAACTTCAGGAAAGACGGAAATCCACAAGTCGTTCGGCATACGCGGAATCCTCACTAATAGGGGACACCGAGGTGGGGGAGGTGCAGGAGGAGGTCCTGCTGGACGCACCAACGTATGCACATGCATCAGAAAAATAGATTCGTTCACTCGGTTGGATGAGGGCTCGCGGATAAGAGCAGTAGGCATAGCTACTGGGGCACGATGCCCCGATTCCACTACACACTTGGAAAAGAGCGGCCGGCTGGAGGGCCGACGTGTTAAAAGCTCACGGCAAACGTCATCCAGCTCACTGGAGCGCGCAACGGAGGTCCTGGGCCCGCCAGGGGAGCCGCATCGGCGCGGGCAGGAATCGCCTCGCGGGCGGCGGCAACAGCAACTGGATCAGCGACCTCCATGGTAGCCTCGATGGTGCCGTCGCAGGCCTCCCTCGCCGGGAGTCGGAGCTGGGTGGAGCCCGTAGGCTGCCTCGCCACCTCCCCTGGGCCCCGACAGAGGGCCCCCCGGGGGGGCTTGCCCACCTCCGCAGTAGAAGCAGGTAGACGTACGTGACCGGCGACAGGCCAGAAGAAGCTGCGAACGAGGATGGGGAAGACATCGTCGTCGAGGGAGCGTCTGCAGGCGCGCTGCACGCCTCCAGCCTGGGCGTCACAGAGGACGCAGCACCAGCGCGTAGACGTGCAGCGGAAGCAGAAGAGGGAAAAGGGAGGAAGGGAGGGGGTAGGACTCCTCACGCCGCCTCAGTTTCCCCCTCCCCTCCTCCTCCTCCACCTCCTCCTCCTCCTCCTCCTCCTCCTCCTCCTCCTCCTCCTCCTCCTCCTGCTCCTACTCCTCATCCTCCTCCATTTCTTCCTCCTCCTCCTCCTCATCATCATCCTCCTCTTCATCCATCCATCCATCCATCCGTCCATCCATCCATCCATCCGTCCGTCCATCCGTCCATCTATCCACCCATCCATCCCTCTCATCTTGTTCCTCATCCCTAGACCTTGCTTTTAATTTTCTGGGATAGCGGCCGTCATCGGCCCCGCGCCGCCCCCGCCCCCCGCCACACACACACACACACACACACACACACACAGATGACGTCATGGTCAGCGCCGGCGGCGTCCGGGAATGCCTAGGGATGACCGAGGCCAAGTAGGAGCAGCATGCAGGTGGCGATCTGCACCACAGCGACGGTGTACACCGTAGTGCTCGCGTGCACCACAGCGCGCGTGTACACCACAGCGCCTGTGTACACCGCAACAGCCGTGTGCAACGCAGCGCCTGTGTACACCACAGTGCTCGCGGGCACAAAAGCGCAGATGCACACCACAAAGAATGTGTACACCACAGCAACCATGTGCAACACAGCGCCTGTGTATACCACAATGCTTGCGTGCACCGGCGCGCCTGTGCGCTCTACAACGCCAGTGTACAACACACCATCCGCGTGCAACGCAGCGCTGGTGTACACCACAGCGCCTGCGTGCTCATGACAGGTAGAAGAAGAATGTAGGTGAGGATCTGCTGCGGACAGCTAAACACCACGCCAGGGAAGTGCTGAGAATAGAATGCGTTGTTCTTCCCCTCCCTCCTTCTCCTCCTGCTCCTCCTCCTCCATCACCTCCTCGTCCTCCTCCTCCCTCTCCCTCGCCTCCTCTTCCTCCTCCTCCTCCTCCTCCTCCTCCTCCTCCTCCTCCTCCTCCTCCTCCTCCTCCTCCTCCTCCTCCCCTCCTCATCCTCCCCCTCCCCCTCCCCCCTCCCCCTCCCCCTCCCCCTCCCCTCCCCTCCCCCCTCCCCTCCCCCTCCCTCTCCCCCCCCCCTCCCCCATCCCTCCTCCTCCTCCTCCTCCTCCTCCTCCTTCTCCTCCTCCTCCTCCTACGAACATGTTGACAGGGAACTCTGGAGGGACCGAGCCCAGGAGACCAATTTCTCGGACTCGCTCGTAGTAAGTATCAGCAACCAGTACCAGGCGCCCAGGACAGTTGCAACTCGTGTTTCTGCGTGACCTGCTGGGTGCCCTGACAGAGGCATCGCGGCAGGCTGCTGGACCGCCACTTTTGTTGTTCAACAGTATTGCTTGCCGCCCTTAGACATCTGGGTGACCCAGAACCCGCGCGTGCAGCCCACGATTTTCATCGATGTTTTCTTGTTGGCCCGTCACAACAGCAAGCCCAACATATTGATAGCAGACCTTGCCACGGCCTCAGCTAGTATGCACCAAGCGATCGTTCTCGATCTGAAATGTGACACCGCTACGCCTAAATAAGGCTGCTGTTGTGGCTTCAACGCCGATGGTCCAGGCCGATATTGCAGCTACTTTTGGTCAGTGGGCAGGCCCGAAGGCCGCTCAGACCGAGCCTGCTGCCACCAACTTAGGAGTTGATTTCACTGCGGGAGCCAGGCTAAGGAATAAGGGAAGGAAAACTCTCAAGGCCAGGAATGGGAAGTTAAAGAATCGACTCCGCAGATTACGAGCCCTTCGCGCCGCAGAAGCAGATACCAAGAAAATTTGGAACACTGGCCTTCAGCAGGCTGGCTATTTCGGGACCGACATTCTGGGTCTCACGGTTCAGGAACTCCTGGATGCGCAAAATCTGTTCCTGAAGGTTGCGGGGCCCAAGTGTGCTACTCGGTCGCGTACCCTGTCGCTTGCTATTCTTGAAGACCCCACCTGGACATCATTCGATTCGAGGCTAAAGACCTGCATAGTGCTCACCCGTGATCGCGGAGACTGCGAGTATACCTGTGCGTCCTTTGTGCTGCTTGGCTCCGCCACGGTGCAGCACTCAGAGTGGCTCCACGCGTTACGTGGATGAACTTGTTGTGGCGCCTGTCCAACCAGCAGCTCTGGACAGCCTGGGAAGACGGGGAAACGGCGGCCATTGCAAGTGCTTGACTGATGGGCCTCCAAGGCGCGGGAGGCAGGAAGCCCTCCTACTGCCAGTCTTGCTCATGGCACCTGGCCCTGCGTACGTTGGCCGGGTCGTGCCTGTTGCCAGCCATGCTCTGAGGGAAGGGCCTCGCGACCGGACAGCAGCGAAAAGTGAAACACGGGCCTTGCGAGCGTTCGGCTTCAAGTGACCAGCGTCTGATGGCTACAATGGGGGGGAACTGCTCCAGTCCATGGGGTGTGCACAAAAACAGGAAGACGGAGAGTGAGGGCAAAAATCGTGGGAGGAGAGCTGGACGAATGCGATCTACCGAGGCACCGCGTCGAGATCCCAAAGCGACGTCCCTGCCACCAGCGACGCCGCGCAGCAGCCTCCAGGATTGTCGCCACTGGGTGGGCACTGCCGAGAAGGAGCACGCGGCAGCAGCATGGCCTTTACGCGCTCTGACTCTCAAAGCGTCGATGCGCGAGGACGTGCTGGGCAGACCGAGCAGACGGGCCGACGGCCGTGGGCTGACTACGGAAGACGGGCCTGGCCCCGAGACCCGAACGCCCCCCCATTCGGCGACATGCCGGGAGAGGCCCTACCCTGCGAGACCAGTGCGCAGTAGTATGTTCGAGGATCCTCAGAACGTGCGTCAGCGCTAACGTGTGATGGTCCACCGAAGGCTTTCAACACGTCAATACGATGCAGATGGTGCAACGATGGCCGACCCGGCCGAACGGGGCAATTAAGCGCACGTCGGGCTAACAAACGCCGTGAGTGAGGATCCTCGACATGGCCGCGAGTCCTTTATGCAGCGCTGCCAGCTTGCGGCAACCACCCACCCGTGCTGGCGGGCATGTCATGCGACACCCTCCCGGGAGCCCGCGGCTCGGGGGAGCCCTCGGGAGCTCAGCGGGGCTGGTGCGACCCCGTGTTGGTCACGACTGCCGCCCCAGTACAGATCCCACGCGACGCGAACAACACGAGCGATAAAAACGAATGGGTCTGACGCAAGATGGCATGGCGACCTCACGCGGCGGCTCACGCAGGCCGCCAGCGCGGCAGGCTACATTGGAGGCAAGGGCGCTGCCACGCGACCCTAGGCGGGCAGCTTGCGCGCCAAAGTCGGCTCACACGACCCCGTTTCCTTGCGTCGCTCTAACGGACGGCGCCGTATCTCAACAACCGTGCTGACATGCCCGTCCTGCCGCGGGAGGACGCCTGCACGATGCTGCCCGGCCCGCCGCGGGCGAGCGGTGCCCCCCAAGCCGAGGAGGCAGGCTGCGCGCATGCCCCCGTGCATCTGGCACGGACCCTGCTGGGGCGTCCAGGCTCGGGCGATCGTGGGAGCCACAATCGCCGGCGCGCCCGGGGGCCAAGCGAGAGGGGGCAGGTCTTCCCACAAGGCCCGCGAAGGCCTCTGACCTTCTGCGACGTCTTCGGAGCTCCGCCCAGAGACACCGACAGCTTCTCCACGGGCTCGGAGGGCGTCCGAGGTCCGAGAGGCCCCGCCGCCCGACGAGAAGGGGAGGCCTGCCTTCCCCCGCTGCGCCCGCGGGCGCGCCGCCGAGACCAGGGAACCGGGCGTCAGGAGTGCGCGAGCGAGAGGCCGGCAGGTGCTGAGGTCCGGAGCTCCTGCACGGCGTGGCGCCGCGGCAGCCCTGCGGCACGCGATGCCCTCTCGAGCGGATGGCGTGTCGCTCAGCTCCGCGGGGCAGGAGGCTCGAGAAGTCTCAGGACGATGACGCCCGGGGAATGGGAAGCGGACAGCGTGTCGCGCCGAAACGTGTTGGGCCCGAACCGGCGGCGGAGACACGCTGTCCAACAGTTTCCGACCGCAAGCGTGCAAGAGGCTGTCGGACCCGAGGCAGGCGACGATGCCATGCTGCGCCACTGAGCCACGTCCAGGGGCTTGAAGCCTATAGCGGGGGCAAGTACACTGCAGCCCAATCTGAATGTGGTGACCAAGCGCGTGCGTGTAGATACCACCAAGGACACCTCCAGTGCGTGCACCTCGGTGCCACCTTTCAAGCCTCGCCATGGCCCAAAGACATTGGCATGATGGTTTGGGCGGCCGTCAGAAAGAGCGCGCAGACGATTTCCACTGCAAGCTGACACCCGTGCTTGCAAACATGAAGGAGCACGCTCGTTGTCAAAGCTCGCAGCCATCTCTCGAGCAACCTGGACGCATGACACCTTCGAGGTCAAGCCGCGCAGCCAAGCAACCACCTGTCTGAAAGAAAGCGAGGCAGGCAGGAGAAGCAGAAGGAGGCAGAGGGGGCGGATGAGGGCGACGACGAGTTCGGTGACAACGAGATTGAAGGTGCACCGTGCAGCCAAAAAACCGACGACGACGCCAGCGACGACGACGACGACGACGACGACGACGACGACGACGACGACGACGACGACGACGACGACGACGACGACGACGACGGCGGCGGCGGCGGCGGCGGCGGCGGCGGCGGCGGCGGCGGCGGCGGCAGCGGCGCCAGCGCCGGCGGCGACGGCGACGGCGACGGTGACCGCCGCCGCGGTGGCGGTGGCGACGACGAAGGAGCGCACGCAGGCCAGCGCGCGCGGGGGGGGCGGCGATGGCCTTAAGCAGGCGCACATCTTCAACCGGCGCTGGCCTTCGCGGTCGTCGGCGTCGTCGGCATCGTTTACGTCGGCGTCGGCGTCGGCGTCAGCGTCGTCGTAGTCGGCGTCGGCGTCGGCTGCAGCGTCGGTGTCGGCATCGGCGTCGGCGTCGGTGTCGGCGCTGGCGTCGGCGTCGGCGTCGCGTCGTCAATATCAACGAAGTGGTCATCGTCGACCTTGTCGTCCTTGTACTTTCGTCGCCTCCTTCCGCCCTCCGCGCTCTCGTCTTCCTGAGTCTCCTGCCATTCTTGCAACATTTCCTCCCACTCATCATTTTCCTTATGTCCTTCATCCTCCGTCCCACCCTCGTCCTTTCTTGCAACATTTCCTCCTCATCCGTCCTCTATCCTCCGTCCTCCCTCCTCCCTCTTCCGCTCATCCTTATTTGTCATTTGGACCGTCGCTTCTGTTAGAGAAGCACTCCCCAGCTAATATCTTGCGCAGGTACTTCCGAAGACAGGCGATCAGATCAGACCTTCCTTCTCCTCCTCCTCCTCCTCCTCCTCCTCTTCCTACTCCTCCTCCTCCTCCTCCTCCTCCTCCTCCCCCTCCTCTTCCTCCTCCGCCTCCTCCGCCTCCTCCTCCTCCGCCTCCTCCTCCTCCTCCGCCTCCTCCTCCTTCTCCTCCGCCTCCTCCTCCTCCTCGTACCGTCGGATGGGGAGCAGGGAGCTCCATGAGCTGCCACCCGAGCTCGTCACACGGCTTGACGGGCAGACCGTCAGGCCTCCTCGGCCGTGTGGCTGGCTATGGCTGCTCGTTCGCTCGTTCGCTCACTACTGAAGGGGCCCAGGGACACACAAATAGATGGACACGAATCCCAGGATTCCCCACATGTTCCTATATCTTCTGGGTTTTCGTCGTCCTCCCCACTTCCCATATGTTCCCATATTTTCCCAGGAGTCGACGATCCATCGTGCCTGTGTGCTTCTTTCCCTCCTGAAATGTCCCCATCCATCCTCCGCTCCGACCTGTTGAAGAGGTGAACGGATCGGGAGAGGGTGGGGGAAAGGCCGAGGGGAGGTGAACTTCGAATTTCAGGGCTCGGGGATGGTGAACCACGACTCGGAGTCGCCCACTGTAGCTCATCAGATGGCCACCTGGCCCGCTCTAGAAACCCTAAACCCACACAAATTGGCATCTCTTGGGGCGGCATCTTGCACTTCCGCACCTGCCTTCCACCACCTTCTGCCGAGGAAGAGACTTCAACTTCGCGACCCCCTCTCTAGATGGACGCCCATGTCTAGACGGGCCCAATACTATGATGCATAATGCACATCTGCACGTACACTCCTCGCGCTGGTCGACAAGAGGGGGGGGAGGCGAACGAAAATGCGCTCTGTCCTGGGTCAGCCGCTCGCTCGCCCCCGTCGCCATCGCCGCAGTCGTCGTCGGCACTGCCGTCGTCGTCACCGTCGCTGTATCCGTCGCCCCAGTCGGCCGTCGTTGTCGTCGTCGTCGACCACGTCCTCGTCGTCGTCGTCGTCGTCGTCGACCACGTCCCCGCCGTCGTCGTGGGCGGCAGAGGCCCCGGCAGGCCCCACCACTGGGACTCCTCCGCGTCCAGGAGGAGGTCGTCGAGCCGCACGACGCGCACGTGCTCAGGCTCTCGCGCGAGCAGGTCGTACAGCCGGCTGGCCGGCGCACGCGAGGGGCCCGGGGCGAGGGGCACGGTTCTCCTCCTCCTCCTCCTCCTCCTCCTCCTCCTCCTCCTCCGCCGCCTCCTCCTCCTCCTCCTCCTCCTCCTCCTCCTCCTCCTCCCCCTCCTCCTCCTCCTCCGCCTCCTCCTCCTCCCTCTGACAGCCCCTACCGGCCCACCCCGATGGGCCTTCTCTTGGCGGCGGCAAAAACCTCATGGCCCGATTGTTTCGCGACGCGAGACGAGACCTCGCTCGCGAGGCCTCGCTCGCCTTCGCTGGCTGCGCAGATCCTGGCGGCGCGCACAGGGGGAGGCAGGCTGCTTCTTGAAAGGTGGCTGCTTCGTCGAAGGCGCCGGCACTGTGTCGACAGGCAAGGCCATCGCCCTCCAAGAGGCAGGGGTGCCTCTCAGAAGCCATTCGCCATCCCCCTCCTCTGCGCGTGGCCGACTCTCGGGGGGCCGCCTCCCCTCGCCCTGCCCCACCCTGCGCGCCGCCGACTGGAAAGACTCGTGCTGCCGCATCCCCGCGATCTGCTCGGACTGGTTCTGCACGTGCACGCCGCCGGGCGAGGAGAAGAACCGCAGCTGCGGGGGCACCAGCGGCAGGATCTCGCGGGCCCGGCCGAGCGCAGCCTGCACGGGCCATACGTTCGTCAGCCCATTGAGCGCCACGTTGGCGGTGAGCACCTGGTGCAGCCACCTGAAGGGCTCGAACGCGAACACACGGCCAGACGGCCCAACGGCTTGTGCCAACGCGACGGTGTAACATCCCAGGTTTGCGCCGGCATCCACAACCTTGTCTCCCTCGCGCACCAGCATCTGCATGTGGTAGCTCTGGTAGTGGTTCATCGACCCCTGGTTCTTGATGGCGTTGCCGATGTTGACGTCGAAGTATGGGACCAGGAAGTGGTGCAGCACGCGCCTGCGCTCCAGCCAGGCGAACTGGGCCTGCGTGTCCTGGAAGGCCTTTGGGCAACCATCAGGCACCAGTACCGCAATACCGCTTCTACCTGGACCTCTCCCAGGGAGCGTTCTAACCAGAATTTCGAAGCGAATCCAGCGGTGGCGACAAGGGCCTCCCAAGAGGCCTGAGAAGGCGACAACGACGGAAGTGAAGCGGCGTGGGTATACCTTATCCTCCTCCTGAGGCCTGCAGCGGGATGTCCGCGTGTCTCCTGCTGACGCGCGGCCGCGGGGGCTGCCGCAGAGGCGGCGCCAGCATCTCTGGCTCCCGATGGTTGGTCAACAGCAGCGTCGGGTAGTGGTGGCCGCCAACGAAGGCCGCCCTCCGCTGGTCGGGCGCGTGGCGGAGCACCCACAGGCAGCGGTTGTACCTCAGGAGGGCGCCAGCCGTGCACATGCGCTGGTCCTGGATCTGGCCCCCTCCTTGGAGAAAGAAAAAACGGTATAAGCATAAACTTCCGGAGGTCCACGCGGATCTCTTGCACTGGCGCCGGCTCCCTCCCCTGGCGCGCGGAGTGCGTCGGGGGCGGCGCTGGAGGCGCCACCAGGAGGGGCCCAGCGCTGATCCAAGAAATGCGCAGAGCTCCGAAAAATTATGTTCATGATGCTTTTTCTGATTCGACTCCTGGGCGCAAGATCGGTGTAAATCACGAGCGGGGAACTTATCCGCATCCGCGCCCTCGCGGTCTAGATTCCGGGGCGCGGTCCTGCGGATACGCGGCCGCACGGACACGTTCCGCGCGTGACATCCGCGAACACAGGCCCCCATCCGCGGGGCCGCGGCCCAGGGGGCCGCGAATGCGGATCTGCTTTTCGCCCGCGAGCAACTGGTCTCCTGGCCAGGACAGGAGGGCGTGCACACCGATCATGGGCCGCGGGTGGATCTGGCCAGGATCGGCGCAGGCGTATCGATGGCGTCCCTGGGTGCCTGTCGAGGTTAGACGGTTCGTAGAAGTTGCCGCCGTGCGCGCCCACGTGCAAGAGGTAGTGCTGGCACCTGCTCTGGTCCAGGCTCCTGTTCTCCACTGCTGGGCCGGCGTCCTCTGGCGGCGCGGCACAAACGCAGGGAGGGGAGGGAGAAGGGAGGAGGAGGAGGAGGAGGAGGAGGAGGTGGAGGGAGGAGGAGGAGGAGGAGGAGGAGGAAAGAGGGAGGAGGAGGAGGAGGAGGAAGGCGGAAGGCGGAAGGAGGGAAGAGGGAGGGAGGGAGGGAGAGCCGAGGACAAGCACAGGGACAAGGCGCGGGGAGGGCAGGTCGGGCCGAGAGCACCGCGACTGCTGGGCTCTGCGCGCAGAACGTGGATGTAGGGCTGCAGAGATCAATATGGGCCTCTGGGACGGGAAGGATACAGTCAACCAGTATAGTGAGGATGCACGATAAGGATGCAAGGGCCTTGGAGGGCCATTTCGATGCTTTCCGAGCGGGGCACGGCCAGAGAAAGTGGCCAAGGATGGGCCGAAGGGACAAGAATGCAAGGGTATCCTTTGGAAGGTTGCCCATCCTTACTATGCGGGTTGACTGTGGGTGGCGATTTCCGAACCCTACCCCCACCAGGAGTCAATTCTCCTGAATCGATGGGAGGCGGGAGTAGGGTTCGGCTTTCGCCACGTGTTCGACGAATTCTGGACCCGACACCCGCGGCCCGCCCATCGAGCTGCCTGATCCGTGGATCGGCGAGGGTAGGGTTCGGAAATCGCTGCCGAAGAACCCTAGAAATCAATCTGGGCCTCTGTCGGCGACACCGAAGGGTCTGGCTTGCGGAGGGTGTGGTTTGCAACCAGCACCCTGGGGGGCAGCCTGGGAGGCTGGTGAGGACCTCGACAGCTCTCCGCCGCGCCCCGAGGCGGCCCGACGAGGGCAACGTGGTGTCCCCCCAGGCCCCAACGACCCAGATCGCAAACCACACACCAGCGCAACCACACCCTTTGTAGTCGCCAACTCTGGGAGGGGAAGTGGTGCTGGTGGTGGTACTCAGCGCACGGTCTGGACTGCATCTCGTACTGGTTGCATGCTGGCCGCTGCGCGCTACACAGGAGGAAGACCCCCCTAGAGCATTTATGAAAGTCGGCACCCCCGCCACGACTGGTTATCCAATCCGGGGACACCATGGACAATGTCAGGGTCGAGAGGCCTAGTGAAATCTCCATTGGGAGGGGCGGAGCGGCAGGAGGCGGATCTGACACAGATCGGGGGCGGCCAAGAGGGGAACGCTCAAGAGGGGGGTGCGCAAATCATGGCCGGCGGAGCTTGCGCGGCCCAGTGGAGGGCCAGGGACGTATTGAAATAAGCAGAGGCGCCACGAAATCTGGGGAAATATCATGGGCCTCGCCATGATATCCACCCCCCCTTGTCCTCGCACCCTCCTCTTTGCCGCCCCCGAACAGAAAGAGAAGCAGGGGCCCCCGGGCCTCCCGGGCCCCCAGGCCACAGGACCGGGGTGCGGCGGGGCTCGCCTGACTGAGACCGAGGAGCTTGCGCGTGCGCGCCGGCACGGCGGGCACGAGGCCGCACATCCCCCACGCTTGCCGCCCTCCCATTCCCGCCGTTCCTCCTCTTCTCCCATGTGTGCACCCCTCGCCGTGTCCACCTTCCCCCCTTCCTTCCCTTCTCAGCCGCCTGCTTCACATCTCTCCCCCCCCCCGCACCCCTCCCGCCCCCCCTCTTCCGCCAGTCATCCCCTCCCAATCTCCCCTCTCTCTTCCTCCCCCTTCCTCCCAAAACCCCCGCTTTGCCCTGATTGCGTTCGCAAGCCTCCTCTTAACCCTCCTCATCGGCTTACCCCCATTCCCCTTCCCGCACAGCCTCCCCCATCCACATTCGATAAGCCCTTATTAATCCGCAAAGAAGGCAAGTGGAGGAGCAGCTGGGCGAACGGGAAGGGGCAGAAGGAGGAAAATGAGGAGGATCAGCAGTAGCAGGAGGAAGAACCAGCGTGATTACTTCCACGGTCCCCCTCCTCCATCCTACAGCCACTCCCGATAACCACAGAGGCTGGCACGCGGGAGGCTCCTAAAATCACGGAGCTGTATATTTAGAAAATCCCCCGCCAAATCTACTACAGGCATGTTAGAGACCTGGGACGGCACGGGAACGAAAAGAGCACTTCAGCAACTTGCCCGAAGAGGGCTCATGGTACCGCTCGCTCGTGGGAGCCTCGGAGATACAAGCGTTTTCACGTCACCGTTCACTCTTGGGAGCCTTGTTGTGAAGAGCTGTTTCACGTCACCGATCGGTCTTGGAAGCCTTGGCGTTAAGAACTTATTATGTCACCGTTCGCTCTTAGGAAGCTTAGTGCGAAGAGTTGTTTATGTCGGCGTTCACTCTTCTAAGGGGCGTTGGAATTAAGCGCTGTTGACGTCACCGCTCTTTCTTTGGAGCCTTGGCGTTGATAGCCACCGATCGCTCTTTGGAGCATTGGCGTCAAGAGCTTTCTAGGCCACTGCTCGCTCTTGGGACCCTGGGCGTTCAAAGATTGTTACGTCACCAACTCGTGTAAACAGAGCTTTCCAGTCGCCTGGTGCTTTTGAGAGCCTTGGCGTCTAAGCTGCGTCCGTCAGTGGGCCGTCCTGAGGGGGGCCCTCTAGGAGCGGTTTTGGGTGCAGTGGTGGGCCCTATTGGGCCGTTCTGGGGCCCCTCGAGTCGCCTTGGGGGCTTGGCCCGTCTTAGGGCCCTCTTAGGGCCCTCTTAGGGCCCTCTTGGGACCTCTTGGCGGCCTTCTGCGGCACTCTTGGGATGCTCGCGGGTTCGCGATGTTTCTCGTCTTCTCCGCCTGCGGCCTCCCCGTGGAACCATCGAGAGAGGTTCACGGGGTTCGTGATGTCTTGGGCCATGCTTGATCTCGGAGGCTGACGGCCCATTTTGACAGAAGGGCAATTCAAATTTGTCAGGCACACCTTGACTGGACGGACTGTTGCGGCGGCAGGCGCAACATAGTTCCAGAAGAGGCAGGACTGGCTTGATCTGCGAACGGCCTATCACTGGCCTCGTTTAACTGGTGGAGGAAATCTGCGGGCGGCTCTCTTGAGGCTCTCTTGGGAGCCTCTTTATGCCCTCTTTGGCCCCTCTTGGGGCTCTCTGTGGCCGTCTTGGTGCCCTCTTGGGCGGTCTGGGGCTCTCTTGGAGTAAAATCAGAAACCCTGAGATCCGTCTTCGGCCGATCTGGGCCGACAAATCGAGGACCCAAAAACAATGAACACAACAATTATATACAAAACATAACATGTAGCTTGCCACCTCAGACCGTCTAGAAGGTCATTTTGGGGACCTTGTTGGCCCTCCTGGGGGCCTCTTGGGCCACCTTGGGGGGCTTGGGCCTTCTTGGGGCCCTCTTGGGGCCCTCTTGGGCCCTCTTTGGGGCCTCCTATGGTCCTCTTGGGCTCTCTTGGGCGCCTCTTGGGGCCCTCTTGGGGCCCTGGGCTCCTGTGGCCGTCTTGGGGATTTCTTGGGCCGTCGTGGGGCCCTCTTGGGAGCCTCCTGGCCCGTTTTGGGGGGATGGTAATCTCGGAGGCCCTCAGAGCCGTATTCGGCCGGTCTGTGCTCGAAAAAGCGAAGCCACAAACATCAAGGAAACATCTAAAGGAACTTAATTCCGCGTGCCTTCTCAGGCCGTCTGGGGGATCATCTTGGGGACCTTTTGTGCCTTCCTGGGGGCCTCTTGGGTGGTCCTCGGGGGTTTGGATCGTCGTGGGGCCCTGTTGAATCCTCCTTGGAGCATTTTGTGGTCCTCTTGTGCTCTCTTAGGCGCGCGGCTCTCTGTGGTGTTGGGGCCCTCTTGGGCCGTTTTGGGGTTCTCTAAGGAACCCCCCTGGGCCGTCTTAGGGTAATCTCGAAGTCCTTAGATGCGTCTTCAGCCGCACTGGGCCCGAAAAAGGCGAGAACCGAAATGTGCGAAGAACCCAAACATATGCAGTTGTGAATGCCGCAGTTGTGGGTATCGTCTTCCGTGGAGCGCCCTCTGGGGCCACGAAACGCTGTACTGGGCGGGGGGGGAGTATGCGAACTGCGCCACTGTGACTTCGGAGGAGCCCCCATATGGGGCCACGAAACGCTGTACTGGGTGTGCGGGACGCATGCGGACGGTCCCACTGGGGCCGTCGGTGGAGCTCCCTATGGGGCCACGAAATGCTGTACTGGGCGGGGGGGGCGCATGCGAACTGCGCCACTGGGACCTTCGGTGGAGCTCCTCTGGGCCACGAAACGCTGCACTGGGCGACATGCGAACTGCACCACTGGGACCTTCGGTGGAGCTCCCTCTAGAGACACGAAACGCTGTACTGGGTGGGGGGGACGCATGCGAACTGCGCCTTTGGGACCTTCGGTGGAGCTCCTTCTGGGGCCACGAAACACTGTACTGGGTGGGGGGACGCATGCGAACTGCGCCACTGGGACCTTCGGTGGAGCTCCCTGCGGAGCCACGAAACGCTGCACTGGGCGGGGGGGACGCATGCGAACTGCGCCACTGGGACCTTCAGTGGAGCTCCATCTGTGGCCACGAAACGCTGTACCGGCTGGGGCGGACGCATGCGGGCTGCGCCAGTGGTACCTTCGGCTGAGCTCCCTCTGGGGCCACGGAACGCTGTACTGCGCGGGGGGACGCATGCGAACTGCGCCACTGGGACCTTCGGCGAACTCCCTCGGGGGCCATGAAACGCTGCACTGGGTGGGGGGACGCGTGCGAACTGCGCCACTGTGACTTCGGTGGAGCTGCCTATGGGGCCACGAAGCGCAGTACTGGGCAGGGGGAGCGCGGGGGGCGCATGTGAACTGAGCCACTGGGACATTCGGTGGACCCTCCTCTGGGGACTATTTTGTGGGGGGACGCATGCGAACTGCGCCACTGTGCCCTTCGGTGGAGCTCCCCCTGGGGACACGAAACGCTGTACTGGGTGGGGGGACGCATGCGGGCTGCGCAATTGGGACCTTCGGTGGAGCTCCCTATGGGGCCACGAAGCGCAGTACTGTGTGGGAGACGCATGCGGGCTGCGCCACGGCGACCGTCGGTGAAGCTCCTTATGTGGTCAAGAAGCGCTGTACAGGGTGGTGG